TTAGTAGGATTTATATTTTCAAATTAAGGCCCCTAAATTTCAGCATCATCCGATTTCAGCATCATCCCCGACAATAACTTTCATAAAAATAACTATTAAAAAAAAAAAAATACATTCATGCCTCATAGTAAAGAAACCAAATAAAGAGTGTTAACCAAATAAAAAATGCTAACTAAATAAAGAGTGTTAACCAAATAAAGAGTGTTAACCAATAAAAGGTGGTGTCCACAGGAAAAAGTTATTAGCCCACCATGATGGATAAGATTTTCCTATTCAAATCCCAAGCTGAAATGACCCGTCAACATATCTTTAGAGGAATGTTTAGATTTAGTTCTTTTACAAGCCGGCGTTTAATATAATTAGACTAAAAAAAAAAAAAAAAATAGAATAATAACTGGAATTAGATATGTTAAATACTGAAATATTAAAAAAATATGTCGCAAATTGATTATCTTTAGAAACAACAAACTAGGACGATACACGTAAATTTAAATTAGAGAGAAGCTATACTTACCCCGGATTAGTCGACACGTGCACAAGCGCGATAAGGAGCAAAAATAGGAAAACAAGTGCCTTCAAATACATTGTGCGATATGCCTGGAAGCTTTAAACTTTCAAATGACAGACATCACATGTGCGAACAATGGAACGACATGGTTTTCGGACAAAAATGACGGTAGTGTTCGGATCCGATTATCAACTTAGATCAGAATAAACTGCAGAACTGCGGATCAATTAATCGGTTCTAAAAAAACATTATATTACTAATTTTTCTTTTTTTCTCGGTTTATTTTTCTGAGAATTTTATAATTAATGACGAATATTTATATGATACGTTTTCTTACCATCAATGCGGCAAATAGTACCCCGGGTCCCTTACATTTCTAGGTCTTAAAAATTGGTACCCTGGGACCGGCAATTTACTATTTAATTTGACAAAATTGAAAGATCCAGGATATTATTTGCTAAAAATTACAGGGATATAAAACGAGATATAAAAACAACTTGTTTAGGTTTGAAGTGTCATCATCGTCTTTTGAATCTGAATCACTAAAATGATTTAAACGTTAAATAGTTCCATCACAGAACGTGTATAGCTATCAGTGCAGACTGAACATTGCTTATTAAAAATTTCATTCATCGTTACTTTGTTAAGTGCTTTTTTAACCCTTTTGAGTCTTAGCGGAAGTTGAATTGTGTATGATCTGAATACGGATTTGCTACGTTAAATCATTCACACAGTAGACAAAACATATTCAATCTTGTTGTAGCTTCTGTTGTTGATTTAGTCAATTTGATTAATATCTTTTTATTTAATTGAAGTACTATTTGCATCATGTCTAGCATCTGCTTTTAGACCAGGAATAGGCTGTTTAGATTCCTTAGCAGATGGTATGCTAATGATAAATCGAAATGCAATTATTTTTGATATTAGGCGAAATACACTCTAATCTCAATATACAGTAGCTATTATTCTGTAATTGTTAAGCCAAAATAATAATACGTAATACTGTATTATTATTATTAATTTGTGTCTATATCAAGAGTGACTATGTTGAGGTTATAATATATTTTTGTTGCCTAAAAAAATTATATAGTTTCTTTGAGAATTTATTTGAGTAATATAGTTTTTTAACAATTTATAAGCTGTTAACATGCGTATATAAGTGATGGATGGAAAGAGAAACCTGTAAATCATGCTTTCGAATATTTACGTTTAATATACAGTAATATACAGTATATAGGGGTAAGAGGACCCCGAACAATACTCATAGAGGTCATATTTGAAAAATTGCTAATATAGACCTTTATTTTAAAAAAAGTTATATTTGAAAAGTAGGTATTAGGTAAAAAGGTTATATTTGAAAACAGCTAATCACTAAATAGGTTATATTGAAAATTATGCTAATAAAATAAATATTATAAATCTTATATTTGAAATATGCTAATAAAAATATATTATAACCTCAACATAGTCACTCTTGATATAGACACAAATTAATAATAATAATACAGTATTACGTATTATTATTTTGGCTTAACAATTACAGAATAATAGCTACTGTATATTGAGATTAGAGTGTATTTCGCCTAATATCAAAAATAATTGCATTTCGATTTATCATTAGCATACCATCTGCTAAGGAATCTAAACAGCCTATTCCTGGTCTAAAAGCAGATGCTAGACATGATGCAAATAGTACTTCAATTAAATAAAAAGATATTAATCAAATTGACTAAATCAACAACAGAAGCTACAACAAGATTGAATATGTTTTGTCTACTGTGTGAATGATTTAACGTAGCAAATCCGTATTCAGATCATACACAATTCAACTTCCGCTAAGACTCAAAAGGGTTAAAAAAGCACTTAACAAAGTAACGATGAATGAAATTTTTAATAAGCAATGTTCAGTCTGCACTGATAGCTATACACGTTCTGTGATGGAACTATTTAACGTTTAAATCATTTTAGTGATTCAGATTCAAAAGACGATGATGACACTTCAAACCTAAACAAGTTGTTTTTATATCTCGTTTTATATCCCTGTAATTTTTAGCAAATAATATCCTGGATCTTTCAATTTTGTCAAATTAAATAGTAAATTGCCGGTCCCAGGGTACCAATTTTTAAGACCTAGAAATGTAAGGGACCCGGGGTACTATTTGCCGCATTGATGGTAAGAAAACGTATCATATAAATATTCGTCATTAATTATAAAATTCTCAGAAAAATAAACCGAGAAAAAAAGAAAAATTAGTAATATAATGTTTTTTTAGAACCGATTAATTGATCCGCAGTTCTGCAGTTTATTCTGATCTAAGTTGATAATCGGATCCGAACACTACCGTCATTTTTGTCCGAAAACCATGTCGTTCCATTGTTCGCACATGTGATGTCTGTCATTTGAAAGTTTAAAGCTTCCAGGCATATCGCACAATGTATTTGAAGGCACTTGTTTTCCTATTTTTGCTCCTTATCGCGCTTGTGCACGTGTCGACTAATCCGGGGTAAGTATAGCTTCTCTCTAATTTAAATTTACGTGTATCGTCCTAGTTTGTTGTTTCTAAAGATAATCAATTTGCGACATATTTTTTTAATATTTCAGTATTTAACATATCTAATTCCAGTTATTATTCTATTTTTTTTTTTTTTTTTAGTCTAATTATATTAAACGCCGGCTTGTAAAAGAACTAAATCTAAACATTCCTCTAAAGATATGTTGACGGGTCATTTCAGCTTGGGATTTGAATAGGAAAATCTTATCCATCATGGTGGGCTAATAACTTTTTCCTGTGGACACCACCTTTTATTGGTTAACACTCTTTATTTGGTTAACACTCTTTATTTAGTTAGCATTTTTTATTTGGTTAACACTCTTTATTTGGTTTCTTTACTATGAGGCATGAATGTATTTTTTTTTTTTTAATAGTTATTTTTATGAAAGTTATTGTCGGGGATGATGCTGAAATCGGATGATGCTGAAATTTAGGGGCCTTAATTTGAAAATATAAATCCTACTAA